GGATTAAATCAGAAGGTGATTTTCTGACAGTGCTACATGGGAGAACCTTGTAGACATTACACTAAGTGAAACCAAAGGACACAAAAGGATGGGCTGTGTACAATTCCACTCCTGTGAGGCACCTAGAGACAAAAGCAGAAGGACAAGCGCCAGGAACTGAGGAAGAAGGGACAAGTTGTTCTTGTTAAATGGGTGTGGGAATGGCAGTGGCTGAGCACACAGTGATGTTCGCAATAATGCCCTGAACTGTATCCTGAAGAGTGGTTGCCATGGTAACATTTATGGTAGTCAGATTTCACCATAATCAAAAATAAACACACATATATTTGTATCAACTATCTCCAGGAGAATTGGAGAAAGTAGTGTAGCAAACCCTGCCTTTAGAAAACAGAACTAGACAGCCAGGAGTTAGAGGTATAGAGTATCACACAAAATATTCCTTGAACTTTCAGAATTTTCTCTATTCAGAATTTATTATCTATGCAAACAGTTAATTTTCAATTAGTCTTACTGACTAATGTCTAAGCAAAGAGCAGGAAAATATATAAATGAAAATGTATTATGGGCCAGCAGTTGGTGGCACATGCCTTGGGAATCTGAGACAGGAAGGCAGCTGGAGGCCAACCTGTACTACATATTGAGCTCAGGGCCAGCCTGAACTGTATATCAAGACCTCGTCCACAAAACTAAACCAAAGAAAAATAAAAGGATATTATGGTCAGTGATTTGAGTGAGGTAAAATCAACATGTCCCCAACTAGCAATGTTAAAGCCCTGCCCTATGCTTTTCAAGAAACAAGGTTTCAACAACTATTTAATAAATAGCTAGGTGTGGATGTGCATTTTGTAATCCCAGCATTTGAGAGGCTGAGGCGGGAGGAGCACTGTGAGTTCAAGGCCAGCCTGGGCCAAGATCCACTCTCAAAAACAAACAAAATTTAAACTATTTAATAAAGAAAATGGAAAGAACAAAATGCTTCAGAACTTAAAGAATCAATATAATAGTCACAGAAATAAAAAGTTATCAGGTTTTATGGTGTATATTACAACATTCGTCATCCAGATTAAATAGGGAGAAAAAGTCTGAATTCTTCTTGAATAATATAAAATGGAATAATAATAATAGTTAATATGTTCTGAGCTTTAAGTCCCAATCTACTTTATTACCAGTAAATAGTGTTCTAAGAGATTTAAAAGTATCTCAGATTTTTAGTCTCACAATTCCTTTTACGTCTCTTAAAAATTGTTAAGATCTTTGAAGAGATTTTGTTTATGTGAGTTATGTGAATCTTTACCATATTAGAAATTAAACTTCACATTTTAAAAATACATATTTATTAACTCATTTAGAAATACATAAACCCATTATGCATTTACATGAATAACATAATTGTACGAGCATAACTATATTTTCCAAAACAAAAAATAAATTTAGCTGGAGAAATGGTACTGTTTGGCATGTCTACAAATCCCTCTAATGTCTGGCATAAAGAGGAGACAGCTGGATTTTTGCATCTAGTTTTGCATTCAATCTGTTCTAATATTATATATCAAGTAGACTTTGCAAAATTTCAATAGACATTCATGAATAAATGCAAACAAAAACTGCTAATATTGTCATAGCTTTATTTTGGAAGTAGTTTGATTTCACAGCCACCTGAAAGGGTCTTAGTGACACACAGGGGCCCTCAAATCCTACTTTGAGAACTCTTTTATCTACACTACCAATCTTCTGAAGGAAAACATAGATGCTGAGGCACAAAGAAAATCAGTAAATCCTCTCTCAGAGTTGGGACAGGACCCAGGAAGTCTGGTTCCAGACATGTGGCCGCCCTCACCAGGCCTGAGGAGAGCAGAAGGGTGCATTTCCACAACGTTTTAGCCAGCAGCAAGCAACTGTGGATACCTGGCAGTCACAGTACCAGGCCTCCCTTTTACTTAATGTGATAAATTTTCAAATTAAATTTTCCCTTTTGTGTACAGCAGAGATAAGGGTAAGTGAGAGCTGCCACCACAAAGCTCACCTCTGAAGAGGCGAAGACCTGCTGCTCAACAGAAATGATGCCCTGTCTATCTCCTCCGAAGGATGACGGGCAGCCTAGGCTCTGGTCACTCTCAAAGACCAAGTGTCACCCCTGCAAGGGCAACCATTTGTATCTCTCCCTCCACTCCAGGCCACTTCTTTACACTCCTTTTTTGCATAAAATATTGCCTCAATCCTTAATTAAAATATCTAAAAGAGCAACAAAATGCAGCATGTTATAAAATAGGTCCCACGATTCAAGAAGTCAATTAAAATGAAACTGTCTAGTAAGTTGAAAAATAAAATCCTATTTAGACTTTCACTTTTAATCATATGCCAATATAAATTCCAGATGTGTTAACCGCCTTCACAGATGGAGAAAGAGCCCAGGCCAGCCAAGGCAGGCGCCAACCCACTCTTGATGATTCCCAGAGCCCCCTGGGCTGCTGGACGGCCAGCTTGGAAGACACTGTCAGCTAACCCTGTGCATATCCTTGGCCAAGGGCTCTGCTTCTCAGTCCTCAACTTCTAGTTTATAATGAACAGGTGGGTGATAATGTACCAGCATCGGAGGGGAGAACACTCACTGTACACTGGCAAATGCCTTCCCAATTAGGAAGCGTTCGGAAGCTTCGCCCGTCCGTGCCACTGCTGCTCCTCCATATGCTTGACATTAGTATTTTAGTGCTCAAAACAATGCCAAGTTTGTTACTAACCATCTTTATTTAATAAAGTAGACCATGTAAGTTGTAAAAACATACACTTTTCCTCAAGGCCACAGTAAAGTTATTGTAACTTGGAACGGTAGAAAAACGTTATAGGTTACCGTTGGAACGGTAACCTATAAACATGCTTACTTTTCCTGAATTGGCCCTTTTAACAGAAAAGGCCTGGCTGGCAGGCAGCCCTGAGTGGTCCAGGTGATTCTCTCCTGGTTGCTTCTGTCAGGGACCCACAGATAGGAGAGAAGCTGGAGCCCTGGCAGGAGGGGCAAGTGAGAAAGTGCGCCCCACAGGGGAGCAAAAGAGCGGGAACTGCGAAGACCCAGGGCGATCCTGAGCAGACTGTCTCCCTCCCCCTTGTGTTACAAGGCCGGAGACACCAGCCCTACTGCACAGATAAAAACCTGCAGTGAGGGACCGTGTATGGAGCCTAGAGCTCCCAGCTGCAGACAGCTGCTCAGATCCAGAGCCCACCGAAAGCGCTCACGTTCTGTCTTTCCCTCCTCTCTCACAGAGCTGCACCCTTCCTGCCTTCTCTAACAAGACCTCCCTCCCCACCCCAGGAGGACCCTTCAGCATCAAAGCACTTGCCATGGCCAGGGCCACAGCAACCTCTCCACCACCACCCCTCCTGCACCTACTCCTCTGCCCATGAGGCCACTTGGCCTGCTCAGAACCCTCCACTTCCTCGGCAATGGCTGGGCCAAGGCTCAGGCCAGGTGCCAATGTCAAGACACAGAAGAGACAAGCCTCATTCCCTCCTCAGCCTTCTCCCAGTAAGGCCCATACACTTCATTGTGGGTATCAAATAATGCTGGCCTGAGGGTCAGGTGACTACCACATAGAAGGCTGGGCCCATGACAGGAGTGCTTGCCTGGTGGATGCAAAACCGTGAGTTCAATCCCAGCACACAAAAAATAATGGTGATACTAACAACAAGTAAAGTATTACAACCAAACAAAAAACTGGTTGTAGTTGGTAGTCCAGTACCTCCAGGAACACACATAGTTACAAGCTGGCATAAAGTCTCCTGTGTTCATTCAGCTTAGCCTAAGTTCAGAACCCTGAGTTGCCGACCAGTGCTAGAAGCAACGGCTTGTAAGCTTCCAACAGTTCCTTTTCACTCCTACTACTTTGCTGCCCTCTGTATGTACTTCGTATTGAGTGTGTGTGTGTGTGTGTGTGTGTGCGTGTGCGCGCGTGAGCACGTGCGAGTGCTACTGGGGATTGAACCCAGGGACCACACACTGAACTACCAAATGGTCTTTTGGGGAGAGGGCTGATGTTTTGTTTCTGCAGGGTCTCACTAAATTGCTAAACTGCCAAGGCTGGCCTCAAACTCGGAATCCTGCTTCGGGCTCCTGAGTGATGGGATTGCAGGCGTGTACCACCATACCCCACTTAAATGCTGAGTCTGGAGGTTAGGAGCCCCTAAATAACCCTCATTTTGCCTGGCTTTCTAGAACAATGGTTTCACTGCTTTTCTTTGCTATGTGTCACACAGATCCTACAATGGCCATCAGACTCGCAGAGTTTCTTCTGTCTTTAACCTTCCTTTGTCTCCTGTCCTTTGTTCTATATCTACAAATATTCCATGTCTTTTTTTGTGTGTGTGACAGGTTCTCACATTGTAGTTCCAGCTGACCTTGAACTCACTGTGTAGCCCAGGATGGTCTCAAACTTTCAGCAAGCCTCTTGCCTCAGCCCCCCAGGTATTGGGATCACAGTGCCACCACCATACCCTACCAATGTCTTCATTTTTTAATGTTCTACTTTTGGTTCTTTTTGCTGTGTAATATGAGGAGTGTAGCTTGAGAGGCTGAGAAAGGAGAACTGTTGCAAGCTCAAGACCAGCCTGGGCTACAAAGTGAGCTCAAGACCAGCCTGAAGTACATAATGAGACTGTCTCAAAAAGACAAAAAAAACCTTACAATTTTTAAATATTTTTAAATACTACTGTTCCTTTGCTATATCCTGCCCCTGGCTTCACAATACATATCTATACATTTTAAAAAGTAACTTCCATTCATTCACTCAAGAAATATTTACTGAATACCAACTATGCCAAGCATGAGGCTGTAGTAGAGTTCACCTCACACAGTCATAGTCTGCAGCTGAGAATAGGCAATGAGATTAGATTCTATCCATTTTAAATCATATAATAAATCCAAGGTATAATGTAAAAAGAAAAGATCTCTCCTCTATTTATGAATTGTATCAGAAATTTATAATTACAACAAAAAATATTTTCCAAACCTCACATCCACTGTATTATTCGACTCATGGTCAAATACTTCAAATGCCTCCTTGATTCTTTTGTGAAATTCTGCTACTTTTACCTCTGAAAAAGATAAAGTAAACCAAATTAGTTTAATCTGCAATTCAAAACAAAAATTCCAATGACCAGATGATTAGAAATTTTAATGAGGAAGAACATAAGGATTCTTTCCTGATCACCTTTATGTACTGTTCAGCTGATTTAACTCCCTTTATATGTCAAAAAATAGAATGGACCATTAAATTTTTTTTCTGAAGTCTATCACCAAAGACATTTTAATCTTAAGCACACAGTCAAGGGTTTTTACCCATCATATGCCCATGGGAACATCCAGCTCTACACAGGAGACTATTTCCATCCTATCTTCCATAGTTTGGGTAGAATCCTAGCCAGAAGCAGAGTAAACCCATCAGCTTCTCTGGAGTGTGCCCTGCCCAACCTGCTTCATTGGGTGCTTCAGGGGACAAGAGGCTAAGCTGGGGACAAGAGGCATAACAGTTGCAATGTGTGACATTCTCTCACAGAGCTTTCGAACAAGTTTGGGACTATACCTTACACACGTGTAATAGTGATATATTCCATAAATATTTATTGAGTGCTTACTATGTGCCAGACAGTATCCTAGCTGATATGGTTATAGCAAGGAACAAAATAGACAAAATTCCCTGCCATGTACAGCTATTTTTATTGGAGAAGATCTATAATCTTGTGCATATTTAGTGAATATATATAGTAAGTAAAATGTGTATTTTAAAAAAGACAAAAAGAACACAGGGAAGGGATGTGAGATGTGCTGGGGTGTTGGGGGGACATGAAGAACACGATGCCTCACTGACAAGGTGACATCCGGACAGACACTCAAGGAGGGGAAAGAGCCAGCGATATCTCCAGGAAGAGTTTTTAGGCAGAGAACCAAAGTGCAGAGTAGCAGGAAGTCGGATCAGCGAGGTGTGAGCAGGAGGCTGGGGAACAGATTCTCTAAGGGGCCCGCAGCTTTCCAAGGATGTGCGGCTTGGGCTGTGAACGCGGTGAGAAACCTTGGACGGCTCTCAGCAGCACCGGGACATGGGCTGCCTCTGCCCACTTCTGATATTTTGTTGAGAAGACACCGGAGCAGGGCAAATGGGGACAACTGGAAATATCAGTTAGATTGCCATTTTTGTGACTGCTTGGTATTTGATTACACAGCATTGTCAAAATTTATTTAATAGTAATGATATCTTGGACAAAATCTCTGCTGGTAACTGTACAAAGCTGGCATCTGCCTTTTAAATTTAAATAAATAAAATACATTATCTTTGACACAAAACTTATTTTTCAATTATCACCTATCAGGAATTATTAATTACTAAATTAAGATCTAGACAGTGTGAATGGGGTGCAGGGCCCTGGTCCAGTGTGAATAGGGTGCAGGGCCCTGGACATATGGCTGCCCTCGTCTCCGTGTGACCAGAAGAGAACCATCTGCGCAGGGGAAGAGGCCCATGCACCATGACGTCGGACGAGACCAAGGTGAACAAAGTTTCTCACTGGTGGAAAACTACAAAAAAAAAATAAGTTACTAAACATTTTAGCAGGAACTGAATATAACTGCTGCAGGCCTAAAACCTTGGGTTATGAGTGACTTGTGCTGCAAGTGTTCTGCAAGATGAATTAACATGTCTAATAAATTTTAACTTGATAAATGAGTGCTATCTTGCAATATAAGTAGTATGCGAGCCAAATGTCAGATCACAAGTGAGCCGATGGCCCCTCCCTCCCTCCGTGTCTCTGTCTCTGTCTCTCTGACTCTCTCTCTTTCTCTCTCCCCGTCTCTCTCTCACTGATAGTGGGTGATCATCTACAGCCAGAAATTATAGAGAAGATCCCTGCAGAAAGAAAAAAAGGCAGAGGACTCCCCCACTTCAAATCAGATTAGGGGAGATGTGTGGGAAACAGTACAAGTGGTAGGAAAGCACCCCCCAAACAAGGCTGTAGCAGTGGGAGCAATGAATGTGCTTAACAACAAAGCAAAGTCCTCAAAAGGAGGCAAAAATGAGTCACTGGATAGGTTCCTTGTTAAAGCTACATGGAAAGAAAGACTCTATTGAGCCAATGGACCTGCAGCTACTCTGCTGGTGATAGTGAAAGTCATCCTCCACAACAAACCTCATCTCTCTCGTCTCCCTCATAGCAGCCACCAAGAGTTTCAAAGATAAGTGCAGGTTAATTTATTTTTCCCTATATTTTGTATTTTCTTTATTATTTTGTACTATGTTACAGTATTATAATCACTTTTATATGAATATTTTGGGTTTGTAGAACAAATATCTGAGTTTCCATGACTTCTTACAGGGAAATTTATTTTGTCATACAGGTGCTTTGGATTACAAGCATATTTCTGATATGGATTATGCTTGCAAGTTAAGGCTTTACTGTATTAGGAAGTAATATTTTGGGAAGGAAGCTCAAGTTTCTCATCAAAATTTTTAAATCTGTAACTTTAAAAACAAGCTTATCATTTAAAAATTTCATAACAGTTTTATGTTCTTACAAAAGTTATAAAGAAAATGAAATAATTTTTTACTCAAACCCCAGATTAGGGCTGGGGAACCAACTCAGCAGTATAAATGCCTGCCTGGCAAGCACAAGGTCCTGGTACCAAAAAAAAGAAAAAAAAGACTAATACCCTAAAGTCTTCTTTCAAGGATTTTTTTTTTTTTTTTGTACTGGGGATTGAACTCAGGTCCTTGTGCTTGCCAGGAAAGTGCATATTCTACTGAGCTATCTCCCAGCCCTATCCTAAGGTCCTCTTATCCCCATGCCAGTGTGCCATACAATTCCTGCGCCACTGTCCAAGTCCACACACTGAAATGAACCGAGTGGGGCAGCCTCACCCCGCGACCCTCAGCTCGTCCTTGGAGAATGCAAGCTCCTGTTCCTCTGGCTCAGGAGGCCCGGCACTTGAGAGCCGTCTGCACCACTACTCTCTTCCCTGCTGCTCTCAGTCCCTACTCCTCCTCCTCCTCGTCTGTGCTACTTTCTCTAGCTTCTTTAAGAAAACTTTTGAATACGCAGAAAAGTTGAAAACTTAGTAAACAACTCGATGCCCACACTCAAACTAAACTATTAATATTTTGCTACATTTGATTCCTCCTTCCATCTCTCTCTAAATAATTGCAGACAGAATGATCCTTAAAGACTTGAGGATGCATCTCCTAAAAATAAGGATATTTTCCTCTATAATCCTAAATCCTTTAAAAAAAATTTTTCCCCTAAATGCTAATGTTATTACATTTTTTAAAAGGTTTTTCATCTCACTACACAGCTCAGACTGATAGTGAGCCCCCCAGCTCTGGGATTACAGGCAGCTCCCCACCCCCACAGCCGGCTCAGCATGCCCAGGGTCAGGGCCGGGGCAGCACGTGGTACTGGGGAAAGAACCCTGGTCCCTGCGCTTGCTTATGCAGGTGCTTAGACTGCTGAGCTATCTCTCCAGCCCTATGACATCTTTAACAATTAATAAAAAAATCAGTAAGATCGTCTAATATCTATTCTGTATTCAAATGCCTCCATCTATCCCAAGTGACTTAAAGCTATTTTTCCATCTAAAATCCAAAGTATATTTACTTCATTTAATTGTATATTTTAAACTAAAACAGTCCTCTTCCTTCCTCACTGCTCTGCAACCCCATGAAATCAGCTCATCAAGAGACCATGGTGAACCACACAATGTCCTACAGAATGTCCCACGTTAGGAACTTGACAGCTTCCTTGTTTCACCCTTAAGTGAAAAGCTACCCCACTGTTAAGGTGGGCTCTGTCAGAGCCCATTATCAGCTGCTCTCCTTGTTCTTGTTTGCCACTCATCTCCCAGTCACTGCCTTCCACACTTATCATTCCAACTCTTTCAGTCTCCGACAAGGCATCCTCACAATTCCATCTGATCCTCGACATGCTTTTATCCTGCTCACTAAGCACTTCTGCAATCGTCCTTGCCTTTCCATTCCCACTGCCTCATCACTTCTGGCTGGATCAATGTAGCCACTTCTGGCCTTTCTCCTTTCTTTCCTTTCCCACTGCATTCCCTCACCACAGTCCACCCTTTGTAAGGATGATCTTTCTTCTTTCTTTATTTTTTTTAGTGCTGGCAACCAAGAGCCTTATGGATGCTGGGCAAGTGCTCTGTGACTACACTACATCCCCAGTTCTAGATCTTCCTAAAATGTACATTTAATCATCAGACCCACAAGTTTAAAATCCCTTGATGGTTTCTGCTGTCTTTTCCAAATAATATTCAACCTCTTGAACCAGGTATGTAAAGCCCTTTATGAAGTAGTTCCCTACCTAGCTCAAACGTCGTCATTTAATACTTTCCCACACAGATCCTCTACCCTACAAATCTGTAGTTTCTCAATGACTATGCTTTTTCATGCCTTTATGAAAGGGCATTCACAACTTCTCTCCTATTTCCTCGCTAACTCCTACTCACCATTGAGGTTAAGAGTAACTTACCTCACAAAACCCCTCTCCCCCTTTTTTGTAACCTATGTAATTATGTAGCATTCACGGATATCACGACTTACATCAACTTCTATTGTAATGAGTAATTTATATATTTGTCTCCCTTCCATAATATAAACACCTTCACCAGAATAACTTTGACAGTGCATGGAACATACTAAAAACTCAGTGAATACTTGCTAAATGGTAGGTGAAGTGGCTCGTGCCTGTAATCCTAATATTTGGGAGCATGACTGTGAGTTTGAGGCCAATTTGGCCATAATGAATTTAAGACTAGCTTGAACTACATAGTGAGAACCTGTCTCAAAGAAAAAGGAGGAAGAGGAGGAGGAGGAGGAAGAGGAGGAGGAAGAGGAAGAGGAAGAGGAGGAGGAGGAAGAAGAAATAGTAGTTAATAACTGGATATGGGATTAATCCATAGTTTCTCTTTTGGTGTTTCATTGGGTATTATTATCAAAATTATACTTATTTCATTCATATAATACAATGATGCAATTTCATTGTTTGTACAGTATACAATAATGTATATAATGGAAGTTATCTATTTTGAAGTAATATGCAAGGAAACCATTAGGCTGGTATGATGAAATGCAGTAAATACATTCAGCAACATATTAAAATGATTATACAGTATCACCTTGTGGAATTTATTCCAGACATATAAATTAGCTTAACATATAAAACTCAAAGTAAGGGCCAGTCATGGTAGCACATGCCTGTAATCCCAGCACTTGGGAGGCTGAGGCAGGAGGATCTTTGTGAGTTCAAGACCAGCCTGGGCTACAAAATGAGCTCAAGGCCAGCTTGAACTACAAAGTAGGACCCTGTCTCAAAAAGGCAACATCAATAAAACACCTCAAAGTAATATGCCATTTAATAAATGTTATCAACATGATACCAAGTATTTATGAAAAACCCACAGCTACTTTCCTTCTAAGACCAGAAATAAGACAAGGATGCTAATTTCATCATTCCAATTCAACATACTACTGGATGTTCTAGCCAGAGGATGTGGATAAGAAAAAGAAGTAAAAGCCCTCAGAATTGGAAAAGAAAATGTGAAACCATCTCAGAAGCCCTTGTGAATTGCTGTTGGGAATGTAAAATGGTCCATTTGCTGTAGAAAAAAGCATAAGTGTCTCAAAAAAATTAACATCGGGGCTGGTGAGATGGCTCAGTGGTCTAAGGCACCTACTTGGAGCAGGCTTGGCAAGGCACAGGGACCGCGGTTCAATCCCCCAGCACCACATGCCAGCCACCCCGCCCCCTGGCGGGCTGAGCTGGCCACACACACAAAAAAATAAATAAATAAAATAAATTAAAAAAAATTAACATCAAATTATTACTAATCCAGCAGTCTACTACTGAGTACACACCTAAAAGACTTAAAAGCAAGGTCTGTAATTTCCAACAAAAGATGGAAGCAAAGGGCCGGGGAGATGGCTCAGTGGAATAAGCACTTCCCTGGCAAGCACAAAAGCCTAAATTCAATCCCCGGTTCTGCCAAAAAAAAAAAAAAAAAAAAGATGGAAGTATATATAGATAGATGGAATGGATAAGCTAAACATGGTATACACACAGGCAACACGTACTATTCAGCCTTTTTAAAGAAGGAAACTCTGACACATAGTATACAACGGATGAACTTTAAGGACATTATGCTAAATGAAATAAGACACAGTCGGACAAATACTGTATGATTCCACTTATCTGGTGCACCTAAAATGCTTCACACATTGATACACAAAATAGAACAGCACAGTGGTGCACACTTCTAATCCCTGTGCTTGGAATGCTGAGGCAGGAGGATCGGCATAAATTCAAGGCAAGGTTGGTGTGAACTACATGGTGAGGCTCTGTCTCAAAAAAAGGGGGGACAGGAATGGCCCTGTTTATAGCTCAGGGGCATGGTAGCTGCTTGGCAGGTGTAAAAGGTCCTGAGATCAATTCCTAGTTCAAAAAAAGTAGGACAGTGGTTGCCAAGACCAGGGAGAAGGGTGACCATGGAATTACTGTTTATTGGGTACAGAATTTCAGTTTGGAAAGATTAAAAGTCTATAAATGAATAGTAGGTTAAATGCTGATGGTTAAACAGCAATGAGAATGTACTTAATACCATGTAACTGTGCACATAAAATGGTTAAGAAAATGTCTAAGATTTAAATTTAAAAAAGAATGCACTGATAAAAATGTTCTAAATTGATAAGCATAATGATTGTACATATCTGTACATACACTAAAAATAAATGAATTATACACTTCAAGTGAGTGAACCATATGGAGTGGAAGATGTACCCTAATAAAGCTGCTATAGCCATGTGTAGCAGCGCACATCCATCAGCTAACTCTCTAGAGGCTGAGGCAGGAGGACTGACATGAGCTGAAGGCCAGCCTGCTGGGCACACAGTGAGTTCAAGAGCACCCTGGACTATATAGTAAGGCTCTGTCTGTCTGTCTGTCTGTCTGTCTCTCTCTCTCTCTCTCTCTCTCTCACACACACACACACACACACACACACACAAATACGTTATAGAAAGAGGGGAAGGAAGCCAGGCTCTATGGCATGTGCTAGTAATCCTAGCACTTGGGAGGCTAAGACAAAGGATCGCTTCAAGTCTGAGATCAGCCTGGTCTACACAGTGAGTTCAAGTCCAACCTGAACTACACAGACCCTGTGTCAAAATTAAAAAATGAAAAGGTACAGTACAATTCTTAGGCAAATATGTAAGTAAACCTTTCTATTATTCTAATGAAGAGAATATTTTGCAGAAATAAAAATATACTGAAAAATAAAAATCCCATAGTATAGGCCAAATGTTTGATGCAAATTTTCTTCCAGAAGAATACCAACAATACATTAACATTTTTATTTTTATGAAGGCAATCCATTTTACTATGGCAATACATATACTGGCAACATGAGAGCAAATATATGGATAAAAAATAAACATTTTATGTGGCAGAATCTTAACAGCTCAAGGGTAAATTTCCATAAATTTATTTCTCTGCCAAATGGCTCCAGTGTGGAAATGTTTCTTACAAAGTTTGAACTGAAATGTGTTTTGAAGTAGTAATAAAACCTAAAAGTTTCTTAACTCTGACAATTTCCCTTCTCAATGATTATTTAACTATCGATTAGAAAACCAGTACAAATGACAGTGCTTTAGTGGTAGAACTATTTCAAAAGCATTGCTATAAAATAAAACTTTTCTAAATGCCACCCAGTAAGCACATTACCATTGCTACTTGTCCTTCTGTCATTCGCTAACATTTTCCATGTGGCCTGTGAATAATGACTACTATAAAACAGCTTAGCGAAAGGTGATTATCAGGGCCAGCAAGACAGCTCAGCGGACCAAGCACCTGCTTAGGTGCACACCAGGGTTCCCCTGCTGCACCACATGCTGCACAGGCCTGCCCAGGCGCACTGAGCTGGCCACAGAGACCGCAAGTGGTGGCGCCTGCCTGTAACCCCAGCACTGGGGAGGCTGCAAACAGGAGGGTCACTGGGAGTCTGAGCTGCACAGTGAGACCCTGGACCACAAATAAATAAATATATATATATATATATATATATATATATTCTTTTTTTTTTTAAAGGTCATTATCCTGGAATAGCAGTGAACAGACAAAAGCAGCCTCCTCACTCAAGGCCTTCTACCTACATTCCATATCCCCCATTTCAATACAGACAGGAAAAGCTACACTGCCTACCATAGTCCATGTCTCCGTTATGCTATGATGTAGAGTATATTCTTGTGCCATAGCCCCAAAATCGTAACTGTAAGATACAATCATAGCAAGGTACAGTGGTGTGTGACTACAGTCCCAGTAATTATGAGGCTGTGGCAGAAGAATTACTTGATCCAAGAAGTTTTTTGAAACTCCATTTCAAACAACAACAACAAAGAAAAAATATATATTCACATCAAAAGTGCATCTACTAAAGAAAAATTAACACCAATCCTTTGCAGAAAAACAACAGGGCTAGGGAGATAGCTTGGCAGTGTAAGCTCCTGCCTGCCAAGTGCAAGGGCCTGAGTTCTATCCCTGGTACCACGTGCCATGCTGGCCCTGGAACTGGGCATGGTGGTACATGCCTTTACTCCCAGTGTTGGGGAGGCTGAGACAGGAGGATTGCTATGCGTCTGAACTGTGTAGCAAAACCCTGTATCCAAAAAACCCTTTTTCCTTAAAAATACAGAAAAACACTTCCTAACTTATTCCAAATGGCCAGTATAAAATAAACTTGATTTATCTTGTACTTTTTGTTTTTTATTCTTTTTCTCTTTCTTTTTTATCTTTTTGAGACAGGGTTTCACTGCGCAGTTCAGGCTGGCCTTAAATTCACTTTGTAGCTCAAACTGGCCTTAAATTTACAGCAAATCTCCTAGCTCAGCCTCCTGAATGCTGCGATTACAGGCATGAACCAC